GGGGTGGCACAGAATGGGGCAAGGTTAAATCATCTCCGGACAGAGCCCCCCAACCCCCTCCCCCAGCGGTAAAAATCCCCCCCAAAGGGGGATCCCCTAAAAAGGGGGCTCCCTCAAGGAGGGTGACCCCAATCCGAGAGAGGCCCCCCAAAAGAGGGGTGACCCTCACAAGGAGCAGTGGTCCCCACCCCCAGTGTGCCCCAGAGAGAGGTAACCCCCCAAAAGAGGGGTTAGCCCCCAACAGACAGGGGTGGACCCCTCTAAAGAGAAGTGACCCCCCCCTAAAAGAGGGGTCCCACAAGGAGAAGGCCCCCAAAAGAGAGGTGGGACCCCTCAAAGGAGAAATGATCCCCCCCTAAAGAGAAGGCCCCCCAAATAAGGGGTGAGAACCCCCCAAAAGGGAGGCAATGCCTCAAAAGAGGGGTGTCCCCCCAGAAAAGTGCCCCCCCCAAAAGAGAGACCTGTCAAAGAGGGGTGGGACCCCCAAAATAGGGGAGGATCCCCCAGAGAGACGTGGGACCCCCAAAGAGGGGTGGGAGCCCCCTAAGGAGAGATGGGACCCCACCAAAATAGATGAGACCCCCTCAAAGTGAGGTGCAACCCCTCAACTATGAGTAGGACCCCCCCCAAAATTAGAGGTGGAACATTAGAGAGAGGCAAGACCCCCCCCTTAAATAGGGATGGGAACTCCTCCAAAGAGAGGCGGGACTCCCCAAAAAGGGGTGGGGCACCCCGACCCCCACCCAACCCCCAAAGTCTCTGTGTGCAGCAGCAGGGGGAGGGAGGAGCCCTCCCAGATACTGGGGTGCCCCCACGGGTCTGGGGGCACCCCCGCGGGTCTGTGGGGGGGTCTCAGGCTGGGAAGGGCTCCGTGGGGGGCTCCTCATCCTGGAAGTGGCTGCGCTGCAGCAGCTTCACGTGGTACTCGTAGATCTTGAGCGCGGGACCCAGGCGGATGGAGAGCCCCGTGAGCACATCGGCCCTCTGCATCAGCAGCAGTGACTTCCCATCGATCTCCTGGGGACACGGGGACAGTGAGGGACAGTCATGGGGACAGGGGACACCTGGGGGACACAGGAACACTCAGGGAACAGGGAACACCCCAAGGACACAGGAACGAAGAGCCCTGCGAATACATCCACCCTCTGCATCAGCAGCAGTGACTTCCCGTTGATTTCTCGGGGACACGGGGAGAGTGCTGGGCAGTCATGGGGACACTGGGGACATGGGTACAGTGAGGGACAGCCATGGGGACAGTGAAGGACAGCCATGGGGACACCCAGGGGACACAGGGGGATGGGTGCAATGGTGAGGGGTGGGGGACCAATGGGGAAAATATAGGGGACACCTTGGGGACACCCCCAGGAACAGAGGAGACACCTGGAGGGTAGCGGGAGGCCAGGGATGGCTGTAGAGGAATTTTGCAGGGAGGGAGGCATTCTTGGGGACACCCACAGTGACAGAGGGAGCCCCAGGGACACTGTGGAGACACCTGGGGGACAGAGGGGACACAGGGTGACAGGGGTGGCCCCACCTGCTCCTGGAAGGCCCCAGCCTGCTCAGGGAAGCCGGCCTCGGTGAAATACTCAACCACATCCCGCACTGACCACTCCACCGGATCAACGGCCTTGTCCTTGCGCCCGGCCCTGGGGACATGGGGACACAGTCACTGAGACACGCGAGGGACACACAGACATGGTCACCGGGATGGGGACACCATGGGGACACGGTCACTGGAGTACTGGGAAGGAACAGAGGGACACCGGGACATGGTCACATGGGAGAGCGGACACTATGGGGACAGGGTCACAGCAACAGGGGGGCGACACAGGGACACGGTCACAGGGGGACATGGAGACAATGGTCATGGGGACAGGGAGACACTGGGTGGGGCACAAGGCACTCGGGGGGACACAGAGGCACACTGGGTGGCACATGCATGACATAGAGGGACGCAAGGGAACACTGGTCCCTAACTCACGTGCAGCTGAATGGGGCCCCCTCGGCGGCCTGGGGGCCCGGCCGGCCTGGGGACAGTGGCACCGATGGCTCTGCCCCTGCCAGCGCCGGGGACACTGCAGGAACACCAACAGGTCACCCCTGGGTCAGCCCTGACTGACCGCACACAGCAGACTGACCCCCAGCACCAAATGACTATCCACCCTCTGGACTGACCCTACAGCCCAGACTGATCCCCCACCCCTAAACTGCCCCCCAGCACCCCCAAACTCAAACCCCCATAGTCCAGCAGCCCCAAACTGCCCATTGTACCTCCAAAACTGCACCCACCACCCCAAAACTGCCCTCAGCACCCCAAATTCCCCACCCATCCCCCCCAAAACTGCCCTCCCCACTCAGTACCTGCTCTGTCGGGCTGCCCAAAGGCCCCCTCCTTTTTAAGGGGGGCCATGTGCTGGCAGCCCCCCTCCCCCGGGGCGCAGGCCTTGGGCTGGGGGGGCCGCTCGGGGGGCGGCTGCCCTGGGGGGCGCAGGGGGCCCCCCCCCCGGCCCTCCCCATTCAGCTGCCGGGGGGGCCCCGCATCCTCCGAGGCCTCCGAGCCCGTCCCGTCCTCATCTTCCTCATCCTCATCCTCCTCCTCCTCCTCCTCCTCCCGTGCTGAGGCCTCGCTGCTGCTGCAGGGGGGCTGGGGGGCCCCCAAAAGTACAGCATTGACATCACCCCACAGAGAACCTCATAAGCTGGACCTCCCCCAACAACCTACAGCCCCCTGAAAGTCTGCGGCCCGTAAAATAATTTATAACCCTGACATCAAAACCTACAGCCCCACCAAAACAGGGGCTCCAAAGTTGCACCTTGACTCCCAATGCAGTTTGACACCACCCTGTGCACGAAAAATTCAGAACACCCTCAATCCTGAAAGCCACGCCCCCTCAAATCCTGGACACCCCAAAAAATGAATCCCTACAGTCCTGCAGGGCATCCCAAATTCTGCACTCGCCCGCGAGAGCTGTCACCCCAGCACTGTCATTGTCCCCCTGCCAACATGTCCTGGGGTTTCCCCCAACCTCACAGTCCCCTGCCCTCATCCAGTCCTGGCTCTTGGTGACCCCCAAAACCCCCTCAGATCCCCACTGTCACCTCAGGTCTCCTGAAGTCCCCCCTCTCCAAGTCACCCAAGTCTTCTTGGGGGTCCCCAACATCCCTTTGAAATCTCTGCTGTCCCCTCACGATCCCCCACCATGTCCTCAGGCTCCCCAATCCCCTCAGAGGTCTCCTAAAGGGTGCCCCCTTCAGCCCCCCCAAGTCCCCAGCTGCCCCAGTTCTCTCAGGGGACCCCAAGTCCCCTCAGGGTCCCTCCCAAAGTCCCTTCAGCCTTCCAGACCCCTTTCTCTGTGTCCCGTGTCACTTCCCCGCCAGGTCCCCTCCACTCACTTAAGTCCCCCCTTGTGTCCCCCTTATCCCCACCAACCCTTCAGGGGTCCCCTCTGGTCCCCAGTGCCTCACCACCCTTGTCCCCCTCAGCCTTCCTGCCCCCAGTCCCCCCAGAGCCCGCGGCCCCTTCAGGCCCTCAAGACCCTTGGACAGCCCCGAATTCCCACCACTTTGCCCCTGGTTCCCTCAGGGTCACCCTCCCAGAGCCCCCCAGTCTCCTCCATGCCCTCAGGGGGCCATCCCCTCAGCCCTCCCAGCTCCCCTGCATGACCCCTGAATGTCTCAAGACCCTGGCGCCTTCTAATAACCCCCAGCCCCCTCCCCAGTGTCCCCTCAGGGTCCCCCTCACAGAGCCCCCTGTTCCCCTCAGGGCTCTCCCCCTGGGGGCCCCCTCACGATTCCCGGGCCCCTCCTTCCCCTCAACCCCTTCCCGCACTCCCCCTCACGACCCTCACACCTGCCATCCTCTCAGAACCACCTCAGGCATCCCTGTGACCCCTCACGACCCCCGAACCTTCCACCAGTGTCCCCCTCACAGGGTCCCCCGTTTCTTTCAGAGCTCAGACCCTCGGTGCCCCCTCACGACCTCCGGGCCCCTCCACTCCTCTCAGCCACCCGAGTCTCCCAGCCCTTCCCGCGCTCCCCCCTCACGGCCCTCGGACCCCTCAGGTCCTCAGGGACCCACCTCTTCCCCTCACGTCTCGTCCCCTTCCCACGCTCCCCCTCACGATCCCCAGACCCCTTTCCAATGTCCCCTCAGGACCCCTGCTCCCAGAGCCCCCCGGTGCCCTTGGCCCCTCACGACCACCCGCCCTCCGGTGCCCTCTCACGACCCCCGGAACCCCATTCTCGAGCTCTCCCTCGTGACCCTCAGACCCCGCAGATTCCCCTCAGCCCCCCGGTGTCCCCTCACGACCCCCATTCCTCTCAGCCCCTCACCGCTTCCCCGATTGCCGCGCTCCCCCTCACGCCCCCTCCTCACCTTCCGCGCCCTCCCCGCCGCCGCTCTCCCGCGCTCCCCGCGGGCCGTGGCGATGGCGCCCAGCCGGGTGCGCTCGGGTCGGGCCCCGCCGCTCGCTCCGCCGCCGCCCGCCCCGGGGGCCGCCCCGGCCGCCCCCCCGCCGCCGCCGGGCGCGGCCGAGCCCTGGAGGCGGCCGCGGGTGAGGCGGCCGTCGCCGCCGAGCAGCCGCGCGGTGTCGCGGAGGCTGACGGGCGGCGGGCGGCGGGCGGGCGGCGGCGGGCGGCGCGGCGGCTGCACGCGGGCGGCGTTGCGGTACGAGATGCTGCCCTTGTAGGAGACCCGGAGCACGGCGCGCTGCTGGATGAGCTTCTCCAGCTCGGCACGGGTGCGCTCGGGCTCGGGGCCGTGCCGCCGCCGCACCATGCGGCAGATGCGCTCCAGGTCTGGCCGCGCCTTGCGAGAACGCAGCGAGTCGATAGTATCCAGGATCCACTCCTGGTACCGCGGGGCCTGCTCGGGGCCCGGCGGCGGCGGCGGCGGCACCGCCATGGCCCCCCCCCGCGGCACCGCCGGCCCCCCCCTCCTGCGCCCCTTCCTCCTCCTCCTCCTCCTCCTCCGCCCCCGCCCCGCCCGCGCGCGCCCGCTAGAAGGAGGAGCCGCGGCCGCCGCGCGCGCGCGCCTCCGGGTGGAGCCGCCCCGCGCGACCGCGCCCACGGCAAGCCACGCCCAAAGCACAGATAAAACCGCGCCCACACATGCGGGGCACGCCCAGCGAGCCGAACAGAGCCACGCCCCCGCCGAAAAGCCACGCCGATGTCCATCGGCCCCGCCCTATTGTTGATTAGGACACGCCCGTCGAGCTAAACCACGCCCGGATATGAAAGGTTACGCCCAGAAACGAAAGGTCACGCCCCTTGTGAAGGGACACCACGCCCCTGCGAGAAGCCACGTCCACTGCTGGGATCTCCGCCCCTCGGGCCCACCAAAATGGGGTCCCCCCCAATTGAGAGGACTCTTTAAACCCATGGAGCTCCCCCAAACCCATGGGGTCATCTCAAACTCACTGGGGTGACCCTCGATTCCAGGGCCCCCCAAACACAAACCTCCCCAGAGCCACGGACACCCCAAACCCTTTGGGGTGACCCCCAAAACCATTGACCCTCCCAACCCATTGGAGTCCCCTCCAGTTCCGAGGGGTTCCCCCAAATTCATGGGGTCCCCACTCCTATGGGCTTCCCTGACCTACTGGGAGTCCCCAAACCCCAGAGCCCCTCCCAAATCCCAGGGCACCCCCAAGCCATCATAACACCCCATTGAGGTCCCCCAAATTTCCAAGATGATCCCCAAACTGGATTTTTAACCCAAACTTTATTGATTTGTCTCAAACTCATTAACAACAAAGCCTTGGGTGGTTGGGGCCCCCCTCCAGAGGTTTTGGGGACCCCCCTGGTTTTGGGGAACCCTGCCCAGTATTGGGGACCCACATTTGGGGACAAAGGGATGAGGCTTCCACCTTGGGGGGGGGGGGAATCCCTGCCCTGGGACCCCCAAACATCACCCTCGGACAACCCAAGACCCCAAAAGCAGGGGAGTCACCACCCTGGGACCCCAAACACCACCCTGAGATGCCCGAAAAGCTGAAAAACAGGGGGGTCCCAGCCCTGGGAAAACCCCAAATATGGAGGTCACAGCTCTAGGACCCCCCAAACCCCTGGGGTTCAGATGTATTTCAAGTATCTCCACGTTTGGGGGTTCAGGGTTTATGGGGTGTTTTTTAGAATTTTGAGGCGTAATTTTGGGCTCCAAGTGTATATTTTGGGGTTCAGGTTTGTATTCTGGGGTTCAGATGTATTTTTTTATATCCAGGTGTGCATTTTTGGGGTCCAGTTGTGGATTTCAGGTACCTCCATGTGCTCTGGGGGTCAAGGCCTAGCTGGTCCAGTCCAGGCCCTGCCGGTCCTCGAAGCTCAGCACAATCTGGAGGGCATAAAAGTCCTCAAACTCTCCTCAAAACCTCTCTAAATCCCACCCTCCCAGATATCCCCAAATACCCCCCAGGGACCCCAAATCCTCCTAGGGAACCGCCCAAGGTCCCCAAGGAACCCCCAATACCCTCCTGGGATCTCCCTGGGACCCTCAAGACTCCCCCTGGGGACACGGGACACCTCAGGGACAGCCTGAGGGGGCAGGGGACACTTTGGGGACAGTCTGGGAGGGATGGGAGAGGCCTTGGGGGGACAGGGGACACCTTGGATGGGGCAGGGGACACTTCGGGAACATCCCAGAGGGACAAGCGACATGTTGGGGACATCCTGGGCAGGGTGGGTGACACACTGGGGGTGACAGGGATGACCCTGGGGACCACCATCCTGGGGGACATGGGGACACCTGGGGACATACCTGGAAAGGCCACTGGAGGCCATGGGGACACATGGGAACACTGGGGTCACATCTTGAAGGACCACCAGAGGTGTCCAAGGAAGGGGAAGGTCCCAGCTCTGCCTGCAGCACCTGGGGACACCTGCATACATGAGAACAGGGACACCTGTGTGACACCTGGGGACAGGGACACACCTGGGGACACTGTCACCATCCTGGGGACATCCTGTTCACCTCCCAGTCCCTGGGGACATCCCATCAGTGGATTCCCCAAGGTGCCACCAGAGTCCCCACGCTCGGGACAGCAAAGGACCCCTCAAGGCCTGAGACATGAACACGTGTCACCCACCCTGGGACACCCCAGGGACACCGATGTGCCCCAGACCCAATGTCACCAGTGCCCCTACCCCCAACCCCTGCATTCCCCAACCCCCCTCCTCTGTCAGCCCTCTGTGCTGGGGTTGTCTCCCCCATGTCCCCCCGAGTGTCCCTGATGTCCCCCCATGTCCCCCTGTGTCACCTTTTACCTGTCCAGTACCCTCATGACAAAATCTCCCCCCCCTCCCACCGCCCCTGTCTCTGTCCCTTGTGCCTCTCTGGCCCCTGTCCCCAGCCGAGGGACCCTGTGCCCAGCGCCCAGAGCTGGCCCTGCTTTGGGGACTGTAGGGACACAAAAACCACCAGGGAGATGCCAAAAACACAGAGAGGGACAGAGACAGCACCAGAGTGGTGTCCTTGGGAACACTGAGGGGACCAGGGGAAGTAAGAGTGTCCCAAAGGGGACAGGGGACACCCCAAATGGGACTGGAGATCCCCCAAAGGCACATGGAACCGCTCCAGGGGACATGGGACACCCCAAAGCACAGAGGACCCCCTCAAAGTGGATTTAGAACCCCCAAAGGGATCCCGTGGAATGGGAGGGCACTGGGAGAACCCCAAAAGGGACATCTCCCACACGTCTCTCCCGGCCCCCCTCACCGTGTCCGGAGATGTCGCCGGGCGATGTCCCCAGGGCCACATGTGAACCCCACCGGCCCTCCCAGTATGGCCCAGTCAGACAAGTGATCCCGCTGGGGACGGGGGGGTGAACAAAACCCTCCCTCCCCTGAACGGGGGAAACTGAGGCAGAAGTACCCCTCCCCCCCCCCCCC